TCCTCATACAATGAATTAAGAACCGTCCTATTGTTCTTAGACTTTGTGTATAATCAAATCACTTAAATATTTAATCGAATTCACCAGTTAGTCCATCTGGCCTTGGAATTTTCTTTGTAGGGAGGTTTGTTTGTTTTTTCTTTTTTTCTTTCTTTCTTTCTTTCTTTTTTTTTTTTTTTAGGTTTTTGCCATAGGGTATGCACATACACCAAAGACAGACAGAAAGAGACCGTGAGAGAGAAATTGAGGAGGGATGGTCACACTGCAATCCCTTCTCTTCAGTTCTCCTCTCAGGATTTTGGCATGCACGCACATGTGCCTGGAGTGATTTTCAAGAGGCTCGACCTGGGACTCAAACTAAGGTTGGCCTTGTAGAGTCCAGTACCTTAACCACCATGCCACCTGCTGGCATCTGTGGTTAGATTTTCAAATATTAATTTCTTTACTTGTCATAGGTCTGTTACGGGTTGAATTGTATCACTCTCCCGCCCTTAAATATGTCGAAGTCCTAACCTTCATTACCACAGAATGTGTTATTTGGAAACAAGGTGGTTGCAAATGTAATTAAGTTCACACTGGAGTAGCCTCTTCAACCTCAATGACTGGTGTTCTTGAAAGTGAAAGGCATATGAGGAGAGAACAACATGTGAGGACAGACTGAAATGCTGCAGCTGTAAGCCAAGGAACTCAAAGGAAGGCTAAGGACTCTGGCAAACCACCAGAAGCTAGAAAGAGTCAATGAAAGATTCTCCCCTACAAATTTCAGGAGCGTTGCCCTGCTGACACTTGGATCTTAGACTTCAAGCCTCTAGGCCGTTGAGACAATAAATTTCTGTTGTTTTAAGCCATCTGGCATGTGATAACTTTTTATAGCAATCCAACAGAATGAAGTCTTTTCCAATGTTCTGCTTTCTTGGGTCAGTTTTATCCATTTGTGTTTTTCTAGCAATCTGGAAAGCTATACTATCTTGTTAGCATGAAGTTTTTCATAGTCTTTTCTAATTCTTTAATTTTCACACGGTCGGTAGCAATATACCTACTTTTGTTCCTAATTTTGGTCATTGATGTCTTTTTTATTTTTTTTTTTTTCATCAATGACCAAATTTCTATTGTGGATTTTTTTTTCTCATCAATGATCAAATTTCTTTCTATTGTGAATTCCTAATTTCATTTCATTGTAACTAGAGAGCACACTTTGCAAGGCCCTAATCCTTTAAGACAGAGGTCCCTAATCCCTGGGCTGTGCTATGGACCAGTGCCAGTCCATGACCTCTTAGGGACTGGGCTGTAGATTGATTAAGGTCTGTGGCCTGTTTCCCTCTGTTTCTGGCTGTGCAGTGGGGATTGGGCAGCAGGAGGACAAGCCAGTGAGGCTTCAAGTCTTCATTTGTGTTTGAAGCCTCTTTTCGTAGCTGGCATTGCTACATGGGCTCCACTTTCTGTGGGATTAGTGGCAGTATTGGATTCTCATGAGAGCACGACCCTCTTGTGATTGTTTCCCTTTAAATTATAATGTAGTGGTAGAAATGGGGCACACATGGATCATCCTGGGACTACCACCAGCCACTCCTCAACCCTACTCCCATCCGTGGATGGATTGCCTTCCACGAAGCTAGTCCCTGGTGCCAAAAAGATTGGGAACTATTGTTTAAAAGTTACTTAGATTTGGGGACCAGCAGTTAGTGTAATGGCTATGTCGCTGGACTCCCACGTAGTCGACTGCGGTTCGAGTCCCAGACTCGGCGGCTTAGACTCACACCGGGCACGTGTGCATGCGTGCCCAAGATCCTGAGAGGAGAATGGGAGAAGGGATTGCGGCGTGGTCATCCCCCCTGGGGGGTGATTTCTCGCTTTCTGTCTCTCTGTTTCTGTCAGGTGAGTGCACATGCCCTATAGCAAAAACCTCTCCAAAAAAAAAAAAAAAAGTTATTTAGATTTGTCTCACAGCCTACCATACAGGCTATCCTGGAGAATGTAATTCCTAAAAAAGAGTATAAATTCTGCTGTCATTAAGTCATTAAGTCCAGTGGTCCACACTCATCATGTCACTGAGTGCTACTCAAGGTCTCTATCCTTAATGGTTTTCTGTCTAGTCATCTTATACATTATTGGGAGTGGAGTATTAAAATACCAAACCATTATTATCCATTTTCCATTCAATTCTGCCAATTACTACTTTATTAATTTAAGGCTCTATTGCTGGGTGCAAATACATTTATAATTGCTGTATCCTCTTGTCACTATGAAAGTTCTCCTTCTCTAGAGATATTTCTTGTCAAGTCTATTTTGTCCAATATTAGCACAGCCATGACAAATCTTGTCTGCTTACTGTTTGCACAGGATATTGCTGTTCAGTATTGTTAGTCTTGTTATTACCATAACATCCTAATATATGACGCAATTTTGCATTTTCATAGTTCTGAAATTACTCTGTTTAAGTTGCATGATTTCCCATAATAATAAAGATATGAATTCCTTGATCAATTTTACACAAATATTGGTACAATTTTGGGTATAACAATACTCCATTCATTAAAAGCAGAGACCAAAACAAGCTCCTCCCTTAAAAATATAATCCAGTTGTACATTTGCTGCACAGCATTGGTATTGTTCCTTGATGTCTTTCCCCTTCATACCAGGTTTTGAAAGCTGAAAATGATACTTGTCTGCCTTCCTACCAGTTCCAGCCAGGATTCGTGAATTGTTCAAACATCGTTACCACAACTCTTCTGTTTGCAAGCACCGCATTCTAGGAACACTCACTCAAGTCAGATGGCTTAATCCCTGGTATAATTGCTCCTCTTCTAAGTCTTGGACAAAACTAGAACATTTATTTTAGACCATAAGATATGTCCCACATATTCTGCATGGTATGCAAAGGGCTGTCCTTTGTCATTATTAAGATACATAAGTACTTTTGAGTTTTTAGGAATCATTATTTTATAAGGTACTACAATACATCTTTTATGCTAAAGGACTTCTACCATTGATTCTTAGGTAATTTTTAAACTTCTCTCAATGAGAGAATGCAGCTGACTAACCACATACGTTAATGTCTAAAATATGCAAGTGAAGCTTATCATTTTAAATGGGACTTGAACATGATAGAATGTGCTCATTTCAACAGGAACTTAAAAAATTCCATTCTGTGCAATGAATCATAGGATGAAAGAGAAAGTAATACTTTAAAAAGGTAAGATTTTTTCCATCTTCTTAAATGTCTATGAAAATTTTCACTGATAATATTAGAAATAGATATAATTATTTAAATATTTTCCTAAACCCTACATATAATTACATTTTTATGAGATTACTGTATTGAGACTTCTTGATTTGTGGCTCCCTTAAAATCGCCTCTGTATTTGATGCGTTATAAGGAAAAGAAAAATGATGCAATTATAGAAAGATGTAGGGGGTTATGGAGAACAGAAGATAAGATTAGTATTAATTGAATGGATGCATATGACCATGGATTAACAGACTAAATAGGGACCCCCTTCCTCTTGAGAAATGAATTTACTTTTTCCTAGGGAAATACATGAAATACTTCAACAGGCAAGTTTTTCCCACCCTGTTAATTTGACTTTCTGTTTCAAGGAATGCAGTTTCTTACTATCAACCCAGCTTTTCAAAGTATATCACTTTTACTGTTTTTTTACATGAAAGGAATAACTTACAATGCTTTAAAACCCCAGACTTCGCAATTTGGTAAGAATCTTCTTTGTTCTTTGAAAGTCTCGCACACATCCTATAGATGAGCCACATTTTCACTTACATTCAAAACTCCAAAATAAACATCTCCACGAAGAATTCTTGCAGTACACAATGACAAATATTAAACTTCTGATTCAGGGCAGTTGTTTATTAGACTAGCTAAGCACAGCTACTACAACTCTCAATAAAAGAGCAGCATAAAACCATCTGTATTCCGTCCTACTTTGGAAAAGTGGCATCTTGCCTAATTATTATAACTTTAATAACAAATACGATAGTTCTTCCATATCGTAAGAAATAATTATATGTAATTCAACTGCACTACTGCAACTGAACATAAAACTGGTCTTAGATTGAAGCAAAAGGACATAATTAAAATGGCATCAAATGACACACTGTTGAAATACCTAATACTTGGCGACCTTTAAAATGGACAAACACACTAAAATAGCGCCGTCTCAGGCCTAAGCTTTCGGGAGTGACATGCACACCGATGTCCTGGTTTTGCTGGTCGACTTTGTAACAACGTATGCAGCTCTTGGGCAGTGTGCTGGTAATCCCTGATGGTGGGAGTCTGCCCTTTCCCCAGCTACTCCACCAGCAACCTTGACTGCTCCACACAGCACCTGAGGGCGCTGAGGCCACCACCGGCAGAGTTCCTCCGGAACTACACCGGTCCAGGCAAAAGCGCTTGTGGTCCAGCTGGTTCAGGATACCCTCGCCCCTTCTTCCGACGTCCAGTCCTTCGAATGCACGCTGCTCGCCGGCTTTACGCGTGGTAGGCGGCCTATGCTTACGGAAGTAAGGAATGTTGTTTTCCACGTTGCAAACAGAGCTCGGAAGAGGCGCCCAACCCTGGTCCTTCAGCCAACAACGCCCTCGCGGGTCCCCTAAGCCAGCGCCGCAGCACGTGGTCTGGAAGCTCAGCCCGCGGGCTTGAGACGCGGTGCACACGACTGAGCATGCGCCGGACCCGACCGGCCGCCGCTTTACGGCCTCGCGCCCCGCCCCACCCGGCCGCCCCGGCAGCAGCGTCGCGAAGCCGTTCACGCTTCCTTCCTCTGCCCGCGGCGACCAGCTGCGTTCGCGATCGGGCGCCCGTGCGCGATGACGCATGCGCGCGCAGACGTGCGGACGCAGCGAGCCGTAGAGAGCGTGAGTTTCCGCGTCTGTTTGGCCCCCCTCGCGGCGTCGTCGCCGTCTCGCTCTTCCTAGGTGCGTGGGGGCCTGCGGAGGGGCGCAGGCTGAGGGGCTGCGGTAGGGCGCCTCGCCCGGGCCGGCGCGGGGGCGGAGTTGGAGGGATTGAAACCGGAGCCTCTGGGTCCTGGGCACCTGCTGGGTCCCGGAGCGAGAGGGCGTTCCCTCGAGCGAGGCAACCTGGGGTCCCTTCGTCTGCGCCCCCTTGTCTGCTTGAGGCCGACCTCTGTGGGACCGGTGTGCCCAGGCGCTGGGAGGATGGGTTAGCACTGAGGGAGTTTAAAGGATCTCTTCTGAGAGCAGGAAGTGCAAAGTGACAGCGACGTTGCATCAGCAGCAGCTTGCGGTTTCAGGTGCTCGGGACAGTCACTTTTTGCTTCTATAGACAAGTATGTAACAGGCGCACCCCTAGTCTCAGTAATAATATTTAACAGGACACAAAAAATCTACCTAAATGAATTGAACTCTTTTCTGTTCATCCTTAAAAACCCTTGGATAGACGTTTCCCCAAACGGATCACATCTTGTCTGCCTTTCCAGACGTGATAAACTCTTCGGAGAGTTCAGTTACTAGCAAAAGGAATTGTCGCTTAGTTATGACTAAGTTAGTGATGGGTGGAGGTCCTTTTTTACAGTACATTCAGGGTCATCCAGACTTGGCTTTTTTTCTTTCACGTTATTTTTAAAAGCTGACCTAATTTCTCACATTTCTATATATTTTTCCCCTTCCTGGTTCTGATACACTTTAGAAGGCTTCTAACGCGCAGCTCACCTTCAACGAAAGAAGGCATTCGCAAGCAGCATAGTAGTGCATTGGTTCCTAAATTGCCCTTCCTAAATTGTCCCAGCACCATTAGCATTAGCGTCACTTCGGAATTCGTTGAAGAGACACGTTTTTGGTTTTACTCCAGACTTAATTTAGAAATCTTTTTTGGGGGGGTGAGGGGAGAGAAACAAGGTCTTGTTAATTTTCAATCTTCTGCCCCGGGCCACCTGAGTAATTGGGATTATTTTTACGGTGAGCTGAGAGTTGGGGCTCCCATGTATCCTCATATGCCCAGTACAAGGGTCCATCAGACTCTGCACCTGGACCAGAAATGTGTTTTTTGTTGTTGTTATTTTTATTTTTTTACATTTGTGCCTTATTTCCCATGATTGCCTTCCTCCTGTCCTCTAGCCTTGGCAGTGTTTTATTTATTTTTTTATGCCAACAAAGAGTCAAGTGGCTTCAACCATAGTTGGAATGTGGCTTCTAGCTTCACAGTCCAATAAGCCACTGACTGTGTCACAGAGGCTAGGCTGGGAAATTTCCTTGGACAAGCCTTCTGGTTGATCTCAGTGTACCTGGGATAGTGATAGAAGACACCCCGAGTAAAGTCACATGGGTTCTCAGTTGTCTGTAGTTAAGGTTGTTGGAAGCTATATTCAGTTACAGGTTGTAGTGATATGTTCTAACACTCAGCCTGTTCTGACTGGACTATATTTAGTGTAGCATTAGTAATCATGTTAGAGTCTAACACTCAGCCTGTTCTGACTGTAGGATATTTAGTGTAGCATTAGTAATCATGTTAGAAGAGTAGTTTTGAATTCTTTGGCCTCAGGTTTCTTCCACTTAAGTATTCATTTTTTTTGACCCTAAACTTGGTAAAGACCAGCAGTAAGCACTAGCATTAGAGTTAAGAAGTGGTATGGAGCAATGACTTACAAGCAGAAGCCAAAACTGAAGGTTTCTATCCTTATCTTTGTTTCCCATATGTCTGTCACACTGCTGCACCAGAGCAAATAAGGCCTCATAGTCTCTCTCTCTACCTCCATTTTCTGGAAAGATCACGGGAGTAGCTTAGATGTGCCTTTAATCTGCTGTTTATTTCAGATGCAGTGTTGCCTAACATTTTTTTTCCTTTCCCTTTTCAGGGAGCTATCGTAGGGGAAGAAAGAGAAATATTTAGGATTTGAAGCACTTGCTCCAAAGCCTAGGTTCCCTAGGTGTCAAGCAGGGTCAGCGCCAAACCTTGGCCTACACAATACATCAGTTTAAAGCACTCTATTCCTGAGGCTAAGACGGGGCTCCTGGATCTTGGGGATGAGGCTTTCCAGATAAACAAAAGTCACCGTGGATATCAGCTTCTGTAAATAATTTTGCTAACCGTACCACCAAATGACAATGGCAATGTCCCATTATGAAACATTCATTTTTTTCAAAGTCCCCAAATATTTCCTCCTTTGTATCAGAAAGATGAATAGCAGTGATTTTGAATCCTGCTTCCACTGTGTCCTGACTGTCCATCAACACATGAACATCCTCCCAACTTTAATTTCTTCTATAAAGCAGGAGTCATAGTGTATGCCTGCCTCAGGCCATTTACTTAAATAATGTGTGTGATTTTGGGTCGGGCAAATCCTGCCTTGAATCTTGCTTCCACTGTGTCCTGACTGTCCATCAACACATGAACATCCTCCCAACTTTAATTTCTTCTATAAAGCAGGAGTCATAGTGTATGCCTGCCTCAGGCCATTTACTTAAATAATGTGTGAAACATATCCACTGTGTACTAGACATAGAAGCACAGTAAGTGTTGCAAGTGTGTGGGGGGTAGTTTTTTTTTTTTTCTTTCATCTCAAACCTAACCTACCCATTCATTTCCTCATGCTTTTTATAGATAAGGTAATTTTATTACTTCTGAACTTCATACTTTCTTTCTTTTTTTTTTTAAGTGAGAAAAAGTATTGAACTGAAGAGTCAAAGCTTTGACATTATCGTGAGAGAAGGCAGACACTTGGAGAAAGTTCAAACATGATAGCAAACCCTAACAGAACATTTTCCATAAATTGTTTTTGGTGTTTACTAGAAGGTCAAGGTCAGAAGATGATTAATATTTGAGTATCTTCAGTTAGTTAATGGGGACAGTCAACTATAAAAGGGGGCACTGTGTTCATGAGATGAGACCTCATTGAAAATACACAACATAGTAAATGGAAATGCTTAGTCCTGAAATAATATTTTGAATAAGGTGCTTTGTGATAGCGAAGTGAAAAGTTTTAGGTTCCATTTTTAAAAAGCAATCATAAACTCATTTATTTTTTGCATATAAATAGCTGAGCATAGAAAATACATAAAGGATTCATACTAGGTCATAATTTTGTTAACTTGACAGTCTACTGTAATATGGGGGTTTGGAGATCCAAGTATAAAAGAGAATAATCCATACATAATCCATACATTTTTGTAAAGTTAGATATATTCATTTACATGTATATGTAAAATTTTTAAAAACCATTCAAAAGATAGAAGTAATTTTTCAAAAAGATAGTTTTCCTTTTATGTCATGGTTACAGCCATGTAAGCAGTGGTCCTCAGTATTTTTTTTTTTTTCAATAGCAGATTTTTTGGAGATTTTTTCATATAGTGCACATGAGCTCTCTAGAAAGAGAGAGAGAGAGAGAGAGAGAGAGAGAGAGAGCGCAAGTGAGGAATAACCACCCAGGGGAGATGGCCACGGAAGGAGAAGTTCCTTCTTCATTCTCCTCTCGGGATCTTGAGCAGGCACACATATGCACCCGGCGCAAGTTTAAACCACTGGGTCCAGGACTTGAACAGTGATTGAATACATGGGAGTCCACCAACATAGCCATTATGCCAACTGCTGGTCTCCTGAGAGCCCTCTTAAGCAGAATCTTACCTGTAAAGCTCAGGAGCTGAGAGGTTTTAAGAGCATTAAGGTTGAAGAGCACAGGCTCTTGATCCTCAGAAGTACGTCCAAGGTATCTAAGAGGCTAAAGGACTCAGTGTGAAACTATCTTTGGGAGAGAAGTCCTCAAGGCATGAGCTCTACCTAAAAAGTAATGACAAGGGATTCGGTGGCTAGCTGGTTGGGTGGTGGTTAAGGCAGCTGGAACCCACATAACTGACACCACGGTTCAAGTCCTGGACCTTGGGAAATGTCGCCTGCCAGTGTGCTTATGTGCCCAAAATCCCAAAAGGAGGGAGAAATGGAGGAGAAAGGATTGCAGTGACCATTTCCCATGGGAGGAATGCTTTCTCACTTTCCATCTTTCTCTCTGTCTCTCTCTGTTATGTGCACATGTCCTTTGGCAAATTAAAAAAAGAATTCTAGAATGCCAGATGTGGTGTGTGTGGAGGAGTGGGCCTAGGGAAGGACATTAGAGGAGGGATATGGAGACAGAGCATTGACGGGATGGGGAGGTGTGGTGTTATCTGTTGAAGATATTGTGATCAAGTGGACTGGGGAGAAATGTTCACATATTGACATGTTCACTTTGTAAGCCAAACAATGTGATTGTATATAAAAAAATTTTGAAAATTAATTAATTAAAAAAAGAATTCTAACATGAAGGCAGAGAAAGGAGAACTCCTGTACACTCTTGGTTGGAATGTAAATTATGTATAGTCATGGAAAACAGTATGGAGGTGTCTCAAAAAACTAAAGATAGAGCTACGCTTCAGTACTCCCACTACTGGGGACATATCCAAGGAAAAGGAGTAAGTAAATTGAAGAGATATGCGCACAGATATGTTTATTACAGTATTATTAACAATAGCAAGGCATAAATCAGTGTTAACTGTCCATCAGTGGATGAATAGGTCAAGAAAGTGTACTGTATAGTCACAGTAGAATACTATTCAGCCATAAAAGGATGAAATCCTGTCGTTCAAAGCAACATGGATGAGCCTGAAGGATATTATGTTAAGTGAAATAAGCCAGACACAGAAACAAATACTTAATGTTCTTTCTCATTTGTGCAAGCTAAAAAAATTTGATCTCATAGAACGAGAGAATAGAATAGTGTGGTTACCAGAGGCTGGGGAGGATAGGGGGAAGAGATAATAAGGAGATATTGGTTAATGGCTGTGTTATAGAACCTTCTGGGTTTCTATAACACAGTAAGGTGACTATGATTATCAATAATAATACAGTGTACACTTCAAAATTGTTAAAAGAGAATTTTGAATATACCCAACACAAAGTGATGATAAATATTTTAGGTCACAGATATGCTAATTTCCTTGAATTGATAGTACCCATTGTATTCATGTATTAAAAAAATCTCACTTTACCTGCACTGATCTGTCCATTAAAAAAAGCATTCTAGGGCCAGTAGATGGTGTCTGGTTAAGGCACTGGACTCCCACATGGCTGACTGCGATTCAAGTCCTGGACCTGGTGGCTTGCTTGCTTATTTTCCTTCTCTCTCTCTCTCTCTGGTGAGTGCATGTGCCCTTTAGCAAACTAAAACTAATAATAATAATGATAATGAATAAAACTAATTATTTTTTAAAAAGCAAGCAGCATTCTGGTGATGGGATTCACAAATTTATTCTGAAGACAGTTCCTGAAGTTTTCAGCAGTGTCAATATATTATGGCTTCTC